CGAGAACTATGTGTTCGATCGAGTTAAAATTAATTGCAACTTTAATTAAATAGCAAACAAATTTTGTGATTTTTCTATATTAATCCCTAAATTATCAATTAAACTAATGAAAATAAGTAAATGTGTTTTACAAATATGTAAGATGCATTGCTAAAATGACGAATCCCCCTTATTATTCCATTTTTAGTGTAACAATTAAATTGACAATTCAAAATCATTTATGTTAGTTAATGTTCCTAATTTAATTGAAAGTCTCTCTCTCGATAGCGATCAAATCTATTCCCCTCATGTGATATTTCTATCTCTCAATGAAATATGCAAATATGATAAATGTATTAACGAGTTCTAGACCACCTATTGAAACCATATAAAGCATAGAGATATATATTTTATCATCTATTGAACCTTGTAATGTTTATTATAATGTGCTTAAACCTTATTTTCTCTCTCGATAACAATAAAATCCACTAACAATTCAATTGATAATCAAACATTTGAAAAGAACAATAAAACAATAATAAACATACACAAATCAAATTAAATTAAGTCAAAATAATTAATTAAAAACTAAAAATATCATAACAAGGGTTCATCTCATCCTAACAATAAATAAAATTATCCTAACATATTGAAATTATAAGAAATCATATTTAAGTGAAAAGACATAACCTGGATTTTTGATAAATTGAGAAGATGAAGATAAATCTTGAAATCTTGAATCTCATCAATAATTTCTTGATGAATCTCCACTTGCGTCTTCTCTTCTTTACCTAAAAATTAGGTTTGAATCTTCACTTAATGGAATTCTTGCAAATTTTCTTCAATTCTCTCACAAAAAATATGAATTCTCCTCCTTTAATGATAATAATTGATGAATAATGGAATATAATATGTACATGAGAGTTCTCCATATGTATTCTGCTGTTAAGTATTTGTAGGAGTCGAAAATTTGTTGAAAATCACATCCAAATTGACTTCGAAAAGAGTTTCAATCGAATAAGGAAAGTTATCTTCGCGCGTGGATTTTTTTGTCTCTGCACAATATTCAGTATTTTGACCATAATTTTCTATCCTGATATTCGATTGATGAAATTCAAAGTGCTTTGGAAAGATAACTCAAACGGTTACAACGTTTCTTGAAATAGAGTTTTCCTAATTCGGAAGTTTATTATGCCAACAATGGTTCCCAATCCTCGACTAAAAATTTGAAATATAATTTGTGCGATTAAAAATTGATTTTAACCATATTCCATTCCTTTTTGAATTCTAATTCAATCCAATTGTCTCTTAGCAATCCTTAAAGTATCATTTGTGGTCCAAATCAACTATTGAATTTGCAATTTGATCCTCAAACTTTGAATTTTGTCATTTTTCACTTATTTCTTTACATTCTTCGTCCAACCATTGAGTTTTACATATATAATATAAAATATAACAATTTAGGATATATTTTGTCAAAAGAACTATCATATATTGTTATTTTGGACCCCGATTAAGTGTATAAAATACACTTATATGAAGACGGTCATACTTTAATGATGTTGGATGTTGCTCTGCCGATGGTCGCTAATACGACATCATTCGAGTATGTCAAGAATCATATGAAAGTTGTGAATGATGAATAGAGGATTCGTCACTCTTAGATAGTAAGGGATTACGATCTACATTTCATTTAGTTAAGTTGATAATGAAATCCTTGGCCAATATAAACTCATAAGTCGAAAATGAGTTTTCGACTTACATTAACTTAACAGTGGGATAAAAGATATGATTGATAATTAAGATTGACACATATCCATATTTCGTAATTGATTAAATCATATTGATGAAATGATTATAGTGTCACGATAAACGAACGAATTTGGTTTTGTCATACTACGTGACATTTTCTGTTACATGTATTGCACTGATACATTACTAGATGTCAATTTAGGACGACATATGTGAATTGGTGATCAATTAAAATGAGTGTTTTAATTTATCGATTTTGATTAGATCAAAATAATAATTCACATCATTAGGCATCGTGATTGGGAACCAATGGGTCACACACAAAATGAGAACTAGAAGAATGATATTTACCAATTAATTAATTGACAAGTGTTAGAAATAAGTCCGAATTAATTAATTCATGGACCAAATTTAATTAATTGGATTAATTAAATATTGGATCAGATTAAGTTAAACAATAGGCCAACCCCGTTTGGACTTGTATTAATAGATTGCTAGTGTTTAGAAAAATGAGGAGAGAGAAAATAATTATTCTTGCTAGCACAAGTAAAGTAAAAAATCTAGTTCTCATTCTTATTATCTGTGTGGATTTTCATTGGAGGTTGGACAGCTATGGATTTTAGTTCGTAATTGTTCGTGTTTGAGAATCAGCAAAGGAGTCTGTAAAATTCATCAAAAATATAATTTATATCACAGTTTTTATCTAAACACAAAGCAAATCCTTGGTGGGAATTGAAATTGTTTTATTTTCCTCTGTGCATGATTAAGTAAATTCTCAACAATTGATTTCTTACTATATTTTTTAATTACTTGAAATGGACACTATTTTAAAATGTCACACAGGGTACCTAAAATCTCAAGACCGGCCGTGCCCCCACTGAAGTGATGCCCAACGAATGGGGTCAAATGATGGTCGCATATCCGTTTTGGCAGATCGGGGAGCTTTTTTTAAAATTGTTTGTCCAGACATTCAAGACTATATAACCTCCATGTACGATGAGAGCGTCGATGGTTAGTATAACATGTCCTCATGGCCAGAGACGGGGTGGAAGTCCATGATGTAAAGTCTCAGACAGGTCAAGGACAGGAAGGACATGGTTTTATTTGTAGTGGAAGTTTGGAGCTTCATCAGAAAGATCTGGAGCCGAGCGTCGGGGGTACCCCAATGCTATGAACGTCCGAGTGAGCCCTTGTTTTGAGTATTCATGGTTAAGTACAATCTTTCACTTTGTTTTACAGTGTGCAACAAGTGGGACCCGAAACAAACATTAAAAATATCATTAATTTTTGGACACCCTTACATATAGCAATAGAAAATCACTTAGTAGTGCAGAGATTACTAAATAAATAGCACTCACAAAATAATATAACCCGGTAACAAATGATAATTAAAGAAATCTGGAAATGAATACTTCAAAACATAGCGTCTAACAGACATAGACTGCTTGGTCGGTGAAACAGATACCAATACCAAAACTTAGCATGATATAAAGAGTCATAATAATAATGATAATAACCGTACAATTGAGACAGATTCGATATTGTGATAGTTGTCCAAACAACCTTCAAGAGATGTTTGACATAACATATACAAAAACTTCAAGAATAAGATAAGATAAACTAAATCGATAAAACTTCATCAGTGGAGTGTCGTTGTTTCGACTTTCTCAG